GCGAGGGTCCCGCTTTCCCGGTGCGGCCAGTGGGGTCGGGGGTCCGGGAGGGGCCGGGGTGTGCTTGCCTTCTGCCCGAGGGCCGGGGTGCCGGGTTTCTGGAATTCGTTACGAATGCGCCGCGGATAATAAACGGCTAATTTGAACTCGATGACTGGACGTGTTGGGCACGGGCCGGCCGCTCTCTGGAATTCACATTCCTTTAGAAAGAAATCGTGACTCACTTCAGAAAAATCAGGAAGAGTTGAGTCTGCTTTATTTCAGCGCAGTGGCTGTTGAAATGTCCTGTTTTATTGGTGGCTCTGAGGCTCAGCCAGTTAGGTTCTCCTTTGTGCTGTGTGACTCCCCCCTGCGTCTGACCTGTGCTGCGGGAACCAGGGTCCGAGGGGCTGGGAGCAGAATTAAGATGCTTGGTTGAGGCAGGCGGAGGATACCTGTGCGCAGGAAAATGTGCGTTTGGTAAATTTGATCGCGTGCTGGCAACCATCCAGGATATAATTGCCGTATGAAACGGGCTATAATTAATGACTTAGAGCCTAAGACTCAGCTTCACTGGTTTTTTCTTAGGAATGAGTACTTGCCACTTCAGGGTAAACGAAACCTTCAACTTTCGTTGGGTATAACTGATTTTTTTCCTGACATATTGAAAAATGACATATTTATATAACACATAGCATTTTATATAACACATTGTAAGTGTCATGTGAAACAGTGGAGGTGAGATGTGGCCATTCTGCTAGTACAGGTATTGGTGATGCTCCCAATCCAATTGTACGTTGATTTGGAAGATGGCATACTGACGCAGATCTGCCTTTCACATTTTTTTTTCTTTTAGTTTACAGAGAGTGGATCCTTCTGTTATAATATTTGGTTGAATCTACGATGTACCATTGTGTAATACTGACTGACACGGTGCTTTCTGAACGCACCAGTGGAAGGACTTACTACTTCAGAGATTTAAAAGTGGGAATTAGAATGGATGAAATATAGTTGGTGAAATATGACTTGAAAGATTAACATTCTGTGCTGATGATTTCAGTTTCAGCCGGTTGCATGGTTAATGGTAGTGGATTCCAACGCATTTGTTTGGTTCCTGTCCCCAAGGGCACATACATTTACACTCTTGTATCTCTGTTGTAACTTCAGAAAAGTACTACTTAAGAATAGTGAAAGGAACTGTGTAAATAGTAACGGTCTAGTTATAACTGTCACTTTTGTTGCAGACTAATTGAAAGTGTTTAAAAGAAAACCTTGAAACCACTAGAGTGAAGCAAAGCGTCTGCCCCTGGGCATTTCCCTGTGCTCTCCTGGCCTCCAGACTCTTCACTGCAGCTGTTTTAGAAAAAGTAAAATGGGATCAAGAAGAGAACCTGTTATACTCAACTTTCGTTATCAAAATATTGAACCAAATTGGTGATAAATTTCCTTAAATGCCACCTTATTGGCTCCCTTAGTAACAGACTGAACACAGGCTCAGCCATCTCTTTCTGGGTGCTGATGGGTGTCACTGACAGTGTGCGATTGCTGTGGTAGTGCTGTGAAGACACCTGTGGGTTCTGTTGGTGAAGAAGTCACAGCTACTATTAACACTCCGGGATTTTGTGTCTGCCTTCATAATTGAATGAGTGCTGAATGTCAGCCAGCTGTTATTGCAAATAAAGACGTGATTTTTCTTTCTTACTCAGGTTCACAGAGAGCAAGTTAAGAACCTCTGCACTCAGTTTACTCTCAGCCCATCCCTTAGTAGGAATATGTATGTGCCTCTTTTTTCCTTCCTCAAATAGTTGTACTGATAGCAAAGGTGATGAGGAAATAAAAACAGTGCAGAGAAGGGAGCTCAGAGCTTGCAGTCTGGCGTATAGTGGGGTGAGGCCGTGTGGGGATGCTGTTGACCCCAGTGTGACGACTCGCGGCTGTGATGGCCCTGTCTTGTACACGCTGTTTAGGAAGACATGGGAAGGGAAATACAGTGTAGAAGAGGTTCCATTTGGAAATTGTTAGAATCTACATTCAAGGGCCTAGAGGCATGGTTACTTGGTTGGAGAGGCCTGGCTGCACGGGCTTCAGGGAGGCCACACCAGCCAAGCTGCCCTGCAAGCAGCGTGGAGGGGGTACCTCGGCCTGAGCCGCTCCTGGGGTCAAGATGGCAGTCCCACCCGCCAAGTCACTTTCTGGCAGGTTCGCTCACAGAGGGCCGAGTGCTGATGCGGCAGACATGCTGTCCAATGGGGGCTTCAGACCCCGCTGAGGAAGCATCATGGTTCTGAGGATGCCCCCCGGGGACCCGGAAGGGGACAGAGCAGCTGCCCGACTCCATCTAGGATTCCTTGGGGAAAAGGTCCTCAGGATTTGTCAAAATCCTGAAAAGTCCTGCTCTCTCAGGTTGCGAGACTGAGGGCCTGTGTGTTAGTAAAACTGTTGGAGCCACTTTACTGCCTTGAGTCTTTCTTGAAGTGACAGGAGGTGCTCGCCCTGCAGGTCCAGACACCAGGCCTTGCCCTCCCTCCCCAGCTGCTCCATGTGGACTCGTGGGGAGATTATTTCTGCTCAGGGTGACGCCCCACCCCCGTCCCCCAAAAGGTGCACGTTACTTGGTGCAGCCTCTGGCCCCGCAGAGCCTCATGGTGTGAGGCCGGGGCGCCTTGTAGGAAATTCAGCTTTCACTGTTTGCGTCGTCAGGCCCCAGGGTGGCAGGGAGCAGGCTGACTCCAGGGCCAGGGGTTTGGGGTCACACCGGAAGAAGGAAAAAAGGAATCACATGGGATGCAGGGGCCACCCCAGTGCAGGGCCCTGGGTGGATGGACCCACGGCGTGGGCCCCGCCAGGATCCACTGCCCTCCTGCTCTGCCCACCGCATCCTTGGCCTGTTTTCCCAGTGCACCCCGGGGAGAGAGGGACAAAGCTCTTTCCTTTCGTGTCTCCTGGGGGCTGACCTGTGGGCCAGGGGCTCCAGGTCCCCCTTTCAGCAGGGTCTGCAGTGCGGTGGGGTCACTCAGAGGGGCCAGAGATTGGGAGGAACTGTGATTGCAGTTTCCTGAACAGTCTGATCAGACTTGAAAAAAACCCTTGCCTTAATGAGAGCTTGGTAAGCCCTCAGTACATGTCACACATCGTCTGAGACGTTTTATCAGGGCTTGTATTTTTATTGAATTAAAGTCAGGAGTTTAACTGTGCATTATTCTAAATTCAGTTATGTGTTTATGTATACTTTTTTGGGAAAAATAAAAACCCAAACATTTATTTCAGCAGAGTTTATTGCAGCGTAAAACACCCTGTGGTCCCCTGGGCAGGGTCCCGAGCTGTGGCCCCGCTGGCATTTGGGGCTGGGCGCCTCGTGCTGTGGAGACTGTCCTGTGCGCCGTAGGATTCAGCAACGTTCCTGGTCCCTCCCTGCTAGGTGCCAGTGGGACCCCACCCCCAGTTGTAACAACCGAACTGTGTTCAGATGTTGCCAAAAGTTCCCCAGGGGACAGAAATCCCCCAGGTTGCGAAGTACTGATCCAGGACAGCGTTTCCCACAACGCGTCACGTGGAACCGACCTTAGTGGGAAATGCATGCATTTTGACATAAAAGTCAATTAAGCTGTTTGGTGTCAGTGTTACCACATATGTTTCATGTATTTACATAATCCACGTTT